ATTCTATTCTATTCTATTCTATTCTATTCTATTCTATTCTATTCTATCCGTTTCTATTGCTATTCTACTCTACTCTACTCTACTCTATTCTATTCTATCCCTATTCCTATTCCTATTCCGTTTCTATTTCTATTTCTATTGCTATTGCTATTGCTATTCTACTCTACTCTACTCTACTCTACTCTACTCTACTCTACTCTATTGTATTCTAATTCTTTCCCTGGTTTGATCCTTGGCTTGGAATGCTTCCCTTGGATTTAGTAAGCTGCTATTTGAACATTTGGTGGGATGGCCCTCCCTCTGCAGAAAAGATCTACATTCCATGAGTTCAGGTGGCGTTACAGGTAGTTCTCAACATACAACTTTTCTTTTAACAATGGTTAGATGTTACTGTGGTCTTGGAAAAAGTGATTGATGACCTGTCCTTGAAATGATTATGGTCACACCACCTCTACAGTCACGTCATCACAATTCAGGGGTTTGGTGACCAGCTCACATTTATGATATCACAGCATCTTGTGGTCATTTGATTGCAATTTGTGACTTTTCCAGCCAGCTTGACAAGCAAAGTCAATTGACAAGACAGATTTGCTTAATGACCATGGTGATTTGTTTAACAACCACAGTAAAAATGTTTCTAAAATAGGATCCAGTTACATGATGACTTGGTTAATGAGCACATCAATTAGCGACCGGAATTCCAGTCCCAATTGTGGTTGCAAGTTGACGGCTTCCTGTATCCATTGATTACTATGGGCATAGTACTTATGAATCTAAAAAAGCATTATCAGTTCCTCCCAATCTATGTTTTATAGATTTGTGATTACTTTATGATATGCCTATATTCTATATTGTGAAAATGTTCTAATAAACTATTTTATCTTGGACATCTACAGGAGTACTCAAAATAAAAAAAGACTCCACTATGGACCTTTCATACCATTCACTTATTCCTTCATACATCTTGCTAGAAAATGTCTGTGAAAAAAATATTTTAATTGCGTCACTAATCCTTGTCATTTCTTTTTCCATGGTCCTCTACCATCACTCCTTCCCCAGTTTAATAGGATGGTGGGGTCATGACTACAAAACCAGGTTTCTCATGGAAAACAGTATGTATATTTCCCCTTCAGTTTCAAAATAAGGGTTTACTTATATGGTTTTTTTTTTAAAGAAGGTATATAAATGGCATCAAAAGGAATAACATTGCTGCAGAATAATAGCAAAGATGACTCTTTTAGTACAGGGAAATGTTTCCATTCTAACCTGAAATTAAAGACTCAAAAGGAATCAAAAGACAAAATAATGTCCAAATTTATACAGATGATTTATTGGTAAAGGCCTCATTTGACACCATCTTTTTTCTGTGGCTCTATTGTCACAACAAGAGAGAGGGTGGGAGGAAGCGGGGGGGTGGGGGAGAAAGCATGTTGGGGAACACTGCTTGGGAATTTAAAAAACAAACACCAAAATGTCAAAGAAAAAAAATCAACATTTTATTGCAAAGGTAAACTAATTCACTGGCTTCTACAGTTCTAGCCTTAACAGGAAGACAACATTGATTGTTCTGTGAAAATTCCAAATTTTGATAATATTTATTTGGCATTATTCTATGCCTGTCATTTAACAGCCTGTTTTTGTTTAATTTTGATCAGAGTTGTAACATTGACATTTCGTTTATACTCTTTTTTTATGCATTTAAAATGTACTTAGAGTCTTGAATTTGTAATACTACTAATGTTTGATTACTTTTTATAAGTGCTCCTGTTTAATTGTGCTGTCCTCAATTTAAAAAATATTAAGTTTTTTAAAGTCATTGGTTATTATTGAAAATGATCATTTCTTCAGGGATTAGCCTCGAAGTTTAAAAAAGGCCTGTTTACTTTATTCATAAAAGTGTGAATGTGACTTTAATAACATTTAATCAAATTTAAGGGGATCATTTGATATTACGTTGAATAGAGCTAAACATTTTTGAAGGTAAATTTCTACTTGTTGCGTTAAAATATTGAAAATGGTTGACATCCAATTGTTTTGATTAGCTGATAGAGTAGCATCAAACTGGATTTGGGGGGCCTAGAGAAAGTTCTCTGCAAAAGAGGGCATTCATATAATATTGAACGCAGCTGAATACCATGTTTCTCCAACAATGCGGCTTCCCCCAATAGGAAGTCCCAGCATGTTTTATAGTCATGAAATGAAATTAAGCCCCTCCCCCCAAATTAAGGCCTATATTAAAACATGCGAAATGGGGGGGAATGGCGGGGGGCTTGCCGTTAGGAAGTACTTTTGTTACACACCTGGATATGGTGCTGCCTGCATTGACCTCGGCATTGGTGGGGCACTTCGTATCAGGAGACCTTCCGCCACCATTGCTTTCCCTTCTCCTCGTGCTGCCGCAGCGTTCAGAGCAATGCCGCAGCGTTTGGCGCAGCCACACAGAGTTTGGCGCAGCCACGCGTGGCCAACCAGGGCTCCTCCCTGCAACTGGAGCCCGGCGGAGACACTCTGCTTCAGGTGCTCCTGTCGCCACCTTCCCGGGCATCGTTCGAAGGCAAAGCCCATTCTTTTAAAAACGACACCCTACTACCGGTACGACAAAGCCTCCCCTGCCCAAGAGGGCAGCTCAACCCCACCTGGGGAGGCAAATCTCCCGGGGCCACAGCACAGGATCGGTGTTGAGGTAATTCCCCGTTAGGAGAATGAGTGCATACAGGGAGACGTATAGAGAGTCGTGTTGGAGTAATACACACAGAGCACACGGATACACTGTACAGTAAATGTAGGTTTTTACTTCCAGAAAGGTTTAAGCTTGAAACAGTTTAACAGTAAGATGTATGTGTGCACCTACACTGTCACGAACATAAATCCTCTTCAAATTCTCCCAACACCTAGCAGCAGACTCTTCTCCACGAATATGGACTAGCTGCCGGTCACCCAGTGTTAGTCCAATTATACAAAGGACTCATTCGTTGTTCTGTTTAAAGTCAGCAAGCTTCTTGGCATCATCCTCATTATCTGGATCCCAAGCATATACATCTGGTGGGTCTTGAACTACATTCCATAAACCTTCTCTACCCAGAAGTAGACTGCACTTCATAGACCAGGAAACATAGTTTGTTCCATCCAACCGGGTTATCAGTGATAGACTTGTTGAAGTGACTTGTGCCATCTTTACCAGGATAGTAACCCACAATTAAACAGTAAACAGCTGCCTGTATACAGTACTGTGCATTCACACTAGCTTTCAGTTATCTGAGCCTGGTATGGCCTGGGCCCATAACCAGTGTTGAGGTAATTCCCCGTTGGGAGAATGAGCGCATATAGGGAGATGTATAGAGAGTAGTGTTGGAATAATACACACAGAGCACACAGATACACTGTACAGTAAATGTAGGTTTTTACTTCCAGAAAGGTTTAAGCAAAGTCCAAATAAGCAATCCAAAGTCATTCACAAATAAATCAGTCAATTTTCAATCCAGGGATAATCCAAATATCAAAGTCCAGTGTCAAAAACAGTTCAGTAACAGACTTACATTAAATCCAGAAATATCAGTCAATTAGGAAAAAAGGAGGAACAGCAATACTTTCCAACAGAAGGAAACAGAGATACACTCTCTTCTGAGACTCAGACTAAGACAAACCAGGTTTCTGGCTCCATCTTATGGCCATTTGAGAAACCACACCTAATTACAGTTTTGCATTTTCTTAAAGATACAGTTTTAAAATGTTTATCCTGGTTTATATATTTCTAACCCAAATACCTGTTAGGTGACTTATATTCCTAACAATCGGCCCACCCCGGGAGAAGTGCCCAGCCACCATCCCTGCCTGGTGCCGGGCAGAGCGCGAAGAGCTTCACCTGGGTGCCCAGCACAGCTGACAGGCGGGCCCTCCTATCTGGCGGCAGAGCTCTGGCCAAGGCAGTGAGCGCCTCCCCGCTGGGCCCTCCGCTCATCCCGCCAGGGCCGCGCTGGAGCTAGGCGGGCTGGGCAGAACTGGGAAAGCGAGCCACGGTTGCGTGCCCGCCTGCCAAGCAAAAGAGCTGGGCTGACCCAAGCTTGGCTTCCCAAGTCCTTCCAGCCAGGCAGTGATAGCGCCCACCTGTCCATGGACAGGGAGGTGAGGCAACAGCCCACACTGCATCCTCCGAGCTGAGCCCCGCTGAGTGAGCACCGATGCCCGTGCTGCTGCAGCGTTTGGAGCTGCCACCACGTTTGGAGATGCATGGGGACGGGCTGGGCGAGGGGTGGAAAGGAGGGGCAGCTTGGGGCTCTCTCTGCCGGACCCACCGGCCACAGAAGCAGCACTACTGTCGCCTCGCCTTCCTGTCCATGGACGGGTGGGCGTTATCACTGCCTTGGACAGCCTCTTCCGGTGGCCCCTTTGGGGTCGGGCTGGAGAGACGTGGGAAGCCAAGCTCGGGTCGGCCCGGCTCTTTCGCTTGGCAGGTGGGCGTGCAACTGCAGCTCGCTTTCCCGGCTCTGCCCAGCCTGCCTGGCTCCGGCGTGGCCCTGGAGGGATGAGTGGAGGGCCCGGCAGGGAGGCGCTCGCTGCCTGGGCCAGGGGAAGCTTTGTCATACCGGTAGTAGGGCGTCGTTTTAAAGAATGGGCTTTGCCTTCGAATGATGCCTGGGAAGGTGGTGACAGGAGCTCCTGAAGCCGAGTGTCTCCACTGGGCTCCGGTTGCAGGGAGGAGCCCTGGCTGGCCATGCGTCGCTGCGCCAAACACTGCATGGTTGCGCCAAACGCCGCAGCATTGCTCCAAATGCCACGGCAGCACGGGGAGAAGGGAAAGCAACAGTGGCAGAAGGTCTCCCGATACGAAGTGCCCCACCAACGCCAAAGTCAACATCCAAGCTGTTGTCGCCCGCCCGAGGATGCGGGGGGGGGGGATTAAGTCACCCCGGAAAAGTTGGCCTAGCCGTTTTTTCGGGGCTCCCCAAAAAATAAGACCCTGCCTTATATGAGAAACATAGTACTTTTCCAACTATATATAAAACCAGATTCCTCACACTATTGTTGTGTTATTGTTACAGAATTGCAACTCAGCCCTGGAATCAATGGATTTCGTTTATCCAATCCTTCAATCTTAATGGTCTGTGCTCTTCACGCTAGCTTAGAGGTGAGTAATTATTTTCTGCTAACAGAAGACAGTCAAACAAAGGAAAAAAAATGGTTTCATTAGGCAAGATTTCTTCTTGATGGCAGTAAAGTGAAAAATCTGTCCAAAGATGAATGCTTTGAATAACCTGTTACAGTGGTATTTCATTACTCATCGTTATTTGGTTCCAGGAGGTGCGAGGAGTACCAAAAACGATGAGTACCAAACAAATATTTTCCACAAGGAATAATATAGTGAGTTACAATGCAACCAACACTGACAAGTTCTAGCTTGTGCGATGAGTACCAAACAATGAATACCGGGTCAAAAATTTTGCATCAAAATGTGTTAGGTACCAAATTTGATGAGTTTCAGAGCAGTTGAATACCAAGGTACCACTGTACTTTCTCTCTCTCTCTCTCTCTCTCTCTCTCTCTCTCTCTCTCTCTCTCTCTCTCCCTCCCTCCCTCCCTCTCTCTGTCTCTGTCTCTGTCTCTGTCTCTCTCCCCCTCCCCCCGCCCTCAAGTCATTGAACACTTTCCTTTCATTGGTTCCATTGCAGTCCCACATTCTGCTTTCAGCAGCGACATGAACAGATGAACAGACCCATAGCTACTGTAAATGCTTGAATCAGACAAAGACAGAAAGGCTTCGAAGCTGGAAACATGCAATACATTAATTAATTGAATTGATAAATTATGTAACTAAAATATAAACATTGTTCCTCTAAATTTATATTTTCATGCAAAAATCAAGAAGGTAGTAAGACCAAATAGGCACTGTGTAACATCAAGTTTAGCCCAACACATCAATCTAACAAAGAAAAACTTCATAACAATGAAGCCTTCTGCTGATCCACATTTATTTTTCCCTAACATTAATTGATAAATTAAGAAAGAAATTAAAATTTGCAAGCTTATATGGGAATGTATTTACTTATTTAGTTCTTTTATTTAATCTAGAGCCCCCTGGCTCCTATTGACTCTTAAAAGGCTTTCACTTTAAAAGCAAGTAATTATAAAACATAACATAAAATCATGATTGTATGTCCAAAATGAGAAAAAGCATACATACCCCCCGCCCCCCCCAAAAAAGATTATGCTCTGAAGCTACTCCACAGAAAAGCCAGATTTTACCACCATCATAAATGTAAAAATTACTCTTATTGGTAATTCTGTTTCTTAAAACAATGCTACATCATGATGTAAATATCATTATAGGGACTGAATCTTTTCTTTGGAAAATATGGATAGGCTTTCTGGAGAGAGAGCATATTCTTGTTGGTTTGTATGCTTTTTTCTCATCTGAATGTCCATGATTTGTTTCTTACTTCTTATTCTGACTTGTTTTTAAACTGAAAGTTTGCTGGAGTCAATAGGAGTCAAGGGATTCTAAATTAAAGAAGTAAATAAGTAAATATATTCCACTATAAGTTTTCAAATTGTAATTTCTTGCTTAATTTATCAGTTGAAGCTAGGGAAAACTAAATGTCTGTCAGCAGAAGGCTTCACTGTTATGAAATTTTTATGAATCAGTCCAGTGAATTGTTACACAGAATGCTGAAGGAAGCACCACATAGAGGAGCCAGAGTGTCAGGGTTCCTGGCTTGACACAGAGTTCTAACCCCAAGTAAAATCTCCAAATTTCATAGAAATACTGGGAAGCAATATATCCTGGAATATTATTCACTTCTGAGTTACAAATCAGTGATTTTTTTTTCAAAGAAAAGAATAACGTAGAATTTAATATATCAAGTCTCGTTTCTGTGAACAGAAGCTCTAACGTACCTTGCATGTCTTCACTCAGTTGCTTTGTAGAAAACAATTAGCAATCTTTAGGGAAACCTAATATAATGGGTGTTGCTTCATAATTTGCTACTTACATACTGATTTCTATCAGAAGCTAATGTAGTGTGTATATCTTTGAAAAATGCTATTTGACAGCCATCCATATCCTTTGATATTCACACATATTTTTATTCATCTCAGGCTGCCGACGTCTCACTTGGGGACATTTTGGAAGTGAAAACCAAGCTATTTTTTTCCTCCTAAATTGCATTGCCAGTAAAACAAAAACAAAACAAAATCAATCACAGAATTACTAATAACCTAGAGAGTTTTATTTGAAAACATTAAGATTTAAAATTCTGTATTAAGAAATGCCAAGGGGATATGGCAGTGTATTGTATGCGAGAGGGTGTCAGTGAGAGGGTGCATTTATTTATTCATTTACTTATTCATTCGTTCGTTCTGTTTAGCAATTAATTTGGTTTACCCTTGAAACATCTTTTGTGTTTTGTAAACTTTATATGACCTTAGAGATGATACTCTGCTCTGACCCAGATGGTGCTTACAAATGAGGGGGGGGGGAATCTGTCATTTAGCCCACTGCAGGGGGTCAAAGGCAGGAAGAGCACATCAGTTTCTACGAACTTCCCTTTTTGTGTTTGCATTACACTTTTGGCACAGTCAGGATTCCCTTGCGCTAATTGCTGTAGTTCAGTGAAATAGGCAATCTCTGGCAAAAGAGGACACTTACGAAATGGTCTGCCATCTTGCACAGGGGTACATTAAGCAGAAGGTACAGTTGATAAAGAAACAGCTGAACAAAGCAAGGGTTAACACACAACAAAGGCAGTTTTCCTTTTACAAATGGGACGAGACCCTTTTACAACGAGAAAGAATATTTGCGATGGAAACATTTTTTCTTCATCTGTATACGTCCTCTACAAAATCTTTATAAGTTTAACTCCAGCTGGGAAGGGTCTACAGCAAGTCATTTCCTAAAGTTTCTGCAATACGAGATGACTTCTATTGCCTTCCTCATGCTGGCAAGTAGTATTTTTTTTATCCCTTTCTCTTCCCAAGTCCCAGAGCATTAAAAGTTGTGAATATTTGTTCCCAGTGTCATCAGTTTACAAAGGGGGCCTCATGCTCCCAAACCACGTTTCCTACAAGACCTACTATTCCTGGGAAGCAGTTGTAGCTTTATGCTGTTCCTTTCTTGGGAATATTTGATCATCCTTGAAACACAACGGTACAGAAGCAGAGAAGAACGGTACTTAGAAGATAACGCTGAATGTAATTAAGCTAGCAAGAGATAATTTTCAAGTGTATTTGCTACAATACATGGTGTTTGCAGTGAATAGAAGGGATCTTGGGGAACTGATTGCTTAATATGTCTGAAATGTCATTATAATATGGACACACTATAAAAGAAATGGGTTGGCTATAACTTTGGAAAACTTTGGCTTTTGGCTTTTCCTACTAGCATGATATTGCTAGTGATCAAATAAATGTTGGCCATAAATCAAAATAGGGTATTGTGTGGTTGAAATGGTTCGTTTTAGGCTGTCTTTGTAGAGAAAGGAATGTTCTTTCATGCAATAATTATGTTTCTGTTTGCTTGCTTGTTTTAATTAGATCTTTGCTCAAACTACAATGAAGTGCCTGAGAAGGAAATCCATGCTTCTTACTGGTTACTTGGAGTACCTGATAAAGCACTATTATGGCAAAGATAAAAATTACCCCGAGAAGCCCCTTATAAAACTGATCACACCATCCCACCCTGAAAAAAGAGGATGCCAACTCACCTTACTTTTCTCTGTTCCAGTCAGAGATGTTTTTAAAGAACTGGAAAAACGAGGAGTCGCTGTAAGTAACCTAGGTTTATGTTGGAAACTTCAGAATGCTTTTATTTTATGGGAGTGACATGTTAATTTTAGAATAGCATTGGCATTATAATGCGCAGGGTAGAATAATCAAAACAAAATAATGTTTAAAGTAGCATTTCAGAGTTCATAAATATTGAGCGTTGATCTCATGGTTTCAGGGAAAGAAAATAGAATAGGTGAGATGCAGTAGCATTTCTAGGAGGATCACTTGATAGTTTTAATACATAAGTCATAAGATTAAGACCAAGGCTAAGCTACACATCCCTGTAATGAATATGCAACAATTTTTGGAAAATTGGAATTGGGTATCATAAAGTTGGGGGTGAATGTACAATAGCATTAAATAATCTAAAGCAGAAGCCAGCAATTCTGGGAGTTGAAATCCACACAGGTCTTCAAAGTTGCCAACGTTGAACACCCAGGGGTGGGTTACGACAGGGTTAACTACCGGTTCGGGATTTACGAGCTTCCCTGAATGCTGTGAGCCGCGCGCCTGTAAATCGTCATCAGCATGCTGTGTGCAGAGAAGCAGCCTTTGAAACAGCCCTCTTTTCCTGCTTTTTTAACTGCAGCCATGCCTCGTTCGGCAGCTGAAGTTGAAAAATCAGGAAATAAAGATCAGGTAAGAGCCCGGGTGGGTGCGTGGGCAAAAACATCAGCAGACATAGAATCGGTTCTGTCTGCTGCTCTTCAGAGCTACCGGTTCTACAGAGGTGGACAGAACCAGTAGAAACCCACCCCTGTGAACACCCCTAATTTAAAGATTGGTTGGTTGGTTGATTGATTGATTTCCTTTGTTTCTTCTTAAAAATCAATATCAAACAATTCCTTCAAACCACTACCCAAAGAAAATGTCCCTTTTATGCTGTATAATTTTATAATGCAGCTTTTATGAACCTTATATGAAAGGAAAATTGTGGTCTGTTGGATTTTGGTTCTTTCCACCAACAGAAAGACAAGTCTGGTTCTAATACCTTAGAATTATGAGGCTTGTTAGAGTATTATGTTTCCAGTTTTGCGATTAAAGGAAAAGACGAGAGGGTCACTGAGGTTAACATTTCACCCAAGAACAAAGTAATGATTGGAAAGACACTCTAAAAATAAGGGTTTTTTGAAGACTTTTTGAAGTCCTAGCACAAATCATGTAATTGTCTTGAAAATAATATGGAAATGATCTGTGATTGTGTTCTTCCAGATTACAGGGAAAAAGGTTTGTAGGAAAGTATGGTGGCTGGTATGGTACACAAATGTTACACATGTGATTTTTTTTTATATTTTCACTTATGACAAACCAACACAAAGGCGTTCAATTTGTGGAATGTTTATCTGGGTGTTTTGCAGTGCGACATGCGGGAACCTGATGCTCTCCGGGTTGCCCCAGTTCCTCTCTACAATACTTTCCAGGATGTGCACAACTTCGTTGAAGTCCTAGGATCTGCAATTGCAGCTGCAAAGCAGACAGCCAATTCAAAGTCGCTTTCCTGATCTTATTGATGACATAACTGTATCTTTATTCTCTTCTCCTGACCAAATGCATCGGAGATTTCGAACATGTTTCGGGGTGTGGGTGGGATTTCTTCCAGATTGGGCCATATTCTACTACTTTACTTCCAAAGATTAATTCACTAATTAATTGGATTGTAATGTGCTTTTTATTAAAACTCATGCTTTCACCCATTGGGAGTTTTGTGTGATATCATTATACAGAAAGGACTTTTGATCATTCCTGTTTGTGTGATACTTTTCTGTGTAAACCTCAGTCCAGATTAAGTGGCAAGGAGCCACCTTTCTCTCTGAGTTGCCTGAGAGGGACATTTTGTCTGCACATAAAGAGTAGAAACTTCTTGACACTTTGTGCTGTCACCATGAATGGCTAGCAATTCATTGACTTCATGTTGTTGACTTAAATACAAGAGGGACCATAATTCTTTTTCAAATACTGAGATCTGTTCTTAAAGATGTTGTCCAAATGGTTCTATTAATAACCTTTTAGGTATGATGTGTTTTACATTTGATACATGATTTATATTAAAAAGAATATTAATTGTCAGAATAAATTAATATCTTAAACATTTCGTATTCTTCAGTATGTCAGAACTCATTAAGGATTTTTAGACTCCTAGAATGTATAAGTTGGAAGGTCTTGTGGTAGAATCACCAGCTAAAGAAAAAGGAGGAACAAAAAGGCATTCCGGCATGGAATCACTCAATGGGAGGAAATTAAAGAGGCCAGACTATTGATACCTTTAACTGCTATTTCCCAAGGGAATACAGTCAGTCTGGTAAGATTCTTGTAAGTGGCTGATCAACATAAACTGCTTTGGCCTACACATGGAGTTGTTTTGATTCCTTGTGTCTGACAAGTCTTGATTCCTTCAGTGTAGAAATCCATCAAAGGTATCTAATCCTCAATTGCAAACCTGCAAAGAGGAGAGCCAACCATTATTTTTGGAGAAATTGTTACATTGCTTAAGAACTCCTTAAAGTTAAGTCTGGTTATCCTTTCTTTTAAGTTCAACTCACTGGTCCTTATTTACACAGACTTTGCATTAAATTGTTCTATGCATTTTTGATCATGCATGCGAAATTATTAACGAATAGAGCTTCTGGAGCAGTTTTCTGGGCTTGGTAGGCGCTGATATTTGAGAGATTCAGTGCATGCTTCAGCATATGCTGGGCTTCCTCATTTGACCTGGAAGCTGTTCTGTGCTTTATCTTTTGTTAGACCTATATTAGAAATATGTTAGGACCTATATTAGAAACTGGTTCCCCAGTTTGACAAAGATTGAGAGATGAATATGTTAGTTTTGCCCAATGACATCCTCATGTCTCACCATGCTGCTGAATATTAGTGAGTGAAACGGGTGTTTTATGTATATGTAGCGGTTCTCAGATTTTAAAATTAAAGCATTTTTCAGTAGTGGGGCATAAAAAGAAGTGTAACTGTTCTTGGGAAAGCACCATTGAACAATGATTAACACATGCATGAAACATTCTTCTAGTGTTGCAGTTTACTGACTTGTTTAGCTATTGCTAGCTTTGAGAAGATGTTCTGACAAAATACCCTATTTCAATTAATTTCCTTGATATTGTAATGTTAGAAATGGGCTATTCTGGGTATTTTTCTTATCAGTTTGTATCATAATGATTTTATTCTTAACTTTTTTCCAGAATGCATCTTACGATAATACTCAAAGTTAACATTAGGTGTCAGCATTTTACATATTATTTCATGAGAACCAAACTACCAGAAAGCTGCACCAAAACGATGAAAGTTTCAAACTTTCATTTCTACAGCTGTCAATTAACATCTCTGAAATAAAAATAAAACACACCATGTTTCTCAAGTGCTAAGGCTCTTTCCGTACGAAACACAATGTAACATCAACATTTTAAATTAAGATCCGTATTGTACTTAATTTTTGTAATGTTTTGGAAGGATCTTTTTTTGACTATCACAACACATGAAGAGCAGAAAGGAGAAAGGCAATAGAAAGATATGTAAAGGAAGCCTACTGAGCATGCCAGAAATGGGGGGGGGGGGAAATGATTGATGACCAGGATACATCGCTTGGCCTCATCCATTCTATCTAAAAATCTTTCTTTGAATGAGGCTGTTTTCATTCAAGGCTAAATTCATCACAGTGCTAGAAAACATTAGTAGCTAGTGTCATGCCCCTCTTAGAATCTAACTCGGAGGGAGAGGAGGAACAGCTGACAGGAAGTGTGGCTCCGGAGGTTGTGGAGGAAACTGGGGAAGGGCACAGGCCGGCTGGGCATTCAGAGGAAAACCCAGGCCCATCCCCTCTTCATCCTAGGGCACGCAGGGATGAGCGGATAAGGGAGAAATGTGAATGGCGTGGTCTACGGGGGAGAAAAGGGCCTTGATCCCCTTCATGGGCTACAGCTGTGAGGACTGTTTAAAAGGACAAACTGCGCATGGGCCAGTTCTGGAAGCAAAGCGTGAAAATATTTCTAGTCTGTCAGTTCTTAACTGAGTTCTGGCATCCTTCCCAGCGTGTGTAGTTCGATATCTGTGGACGTCTTCAAGCCCTTATCCTGCCTTGTCTCATTAATTGCTTCAGTGTGGTTTGTTGTTTTTTTTCTATTTATAATTTATACATATTTTGAGTTTGAATGGAAGTTCTTCCTTTTCGCAACTGTTTGTGGGGGAGTTTTTCTTCCAGTCAATGATAATTGGACCTTTGAAGCCAAGTTGAAGGAATTAAAGGGACTTATCTGTTTTTGTGACCTTGTTGCTTTTGTATCCCACCCTGGGTCATCACAGCTAGAGGTGTGAGTTATGCATGGAAGTATTTATGTTTACACAGTTAACAATCTTTTTTTTTCTTGCCTAAGGGTAAGTAACCTTACTTTTCCCACCACTGAATTATATTTTGTTGGATAGGGCCCAGTGTTCACATTTGTCAAGGTCTTTCTGAATCCTGAGTCTATCATCTAAAGCCTTAGCTATTTTCCCCAGCTTGATGCTTGCAAATCTGATGAGTTACCCATCTGTCCCCTCAAGATCATTTATGAAAATGTTGAATAGTACTGGGCTGAAGACAGAACCTAGATAACTTATTTGCTCTTGGTAAAGTATTATATAATATTCATTGGAAAAGTCCTGAAGTTGGGAAAGATTGAAGGCAAAAGGAGAAGGGGATGGCAGAGGAAAAGATGGTTAAAAGGTAAAGGTTCCCCTCACACATACGTGCTAGTTATTTTTGGCTCTACAGAGCAGTGCTCATCTCCATTACAAAGCTGAAGAGCCAGCACTGTCCAAAGATGTCTCCGTGGTCATGTGAACGGCATGACTGAAGGCACATGGAACACTGTTACCTTCCCACCAAAGTGGTCCCTATTTTTCTAGTTGCATTTTTACATGCTTTCGAACTGCTAGATTGGCAGAAGCTGGGACAAATAATGGGAGCTCACTCCATTAGGCGGGGCTAGGGATTTGAACCGCTGAACTGCTGACCTTTCTGATCAACAAGCTCAACGTCTTAGCCACTGAGCCGCTGCGTCCCTTTAAAAAAAAAACACCACAATTTTAGATGGTTAGATAGCGTCATTGACTCAACATGAATTTGGAGAAGCTTTGGATGACAGCGCAGGATAGAAGGGCCTGGCATGCTGTAGTCCATGGGGATCATGAAGAGTCGGATATAACTTTGCAATCAAACAAGAAGTTTAATATGTTTTGGTATATGAAGTTGAAGTTTATTAAAATGTGTGTTTGCACTGTTCTAAAAAGACAGCTATTTTAAACAGATATATATAATACAGTATATCTATTTTCGTATACAACCATAGAGGGAAAATATTTGTTTTAAACAAAATACTCAGGAATCTGTCACTCAGAACTTACAACTACTATGCGATTTAGAGATGAGATTTTTAGTATAGCTGCCTTTCACAGCACTACTTTGAAGAAATGAACACAAATGAACAAAGCAAATGGGAATTGCTGTCTACAAGACTAAACTTTTAAATATATTTCAAGAGTTGAGAAATAAATTTATATGCCTCCGACACTTGTAATTTGAACATGATACAGATCAGTAATTTCAGTTTGGATACCATTTTTATTATTTTAATGTACTCTTCTATGCATCATTTTATGTTGCCTGTTAAATAAAAATGAAAATTGATTGGGGCATTTCTCCATGGAATTTTATCTTTATTTCATCATAATTACTTCTTATTTGAATAATGACAGTTGAACTATTTCATTCAATTTGTATTTTTTAAGCACTGACGTCACAATAAAAGCAAATAACTTAAATTCCGAAGCCATTAGTATGGCAGAGAAGACATTAGGAAAACAAAATCTTGTGATGCTGTAATTTCCATGGAAGGAAAATGTTTTGATGGCTATTTATAATCCTTTCTGGTGGGATCTAGCAAATGGCTACAGAGCATCCAATTTCTGAAACTTTCAGAAAGACTTGCAAAGATTTTAAGCCAAGACCTTAGAAATAGAAGAGGAAGGTTCATACAGTCAGTAAATCTTAGTGGTTGTTTTAAAGCCGAAATCAAATGCTGCATGTATTCAAAAAGCATGTTTTAAATTCAATGCAGCTGCGGAGCTCTATTTTGCCAATAAAGAGTTCATCAGATCTTTCTTCTTTCTGACATTTACATGTAATCAAAAATAACATTTTAATACTCCAAGGTATGAATTTCAAAGCCCCCTTTATCACTGTATTCAGTTTTGAGCCATTAATCAAATACTATGAAAGCTTTTAATATGTACAAAAAAAAAAAACCTAAGCAGTGGATCATTCATTCAGAACATACGTACCAGAGGTTTTAACAAAGTAATATGATTGAGGAGTACAATACATGCATACAATCACTTAAATAAGGAAAAAGCAGACACATATATTTTACTCATACACCCATATATATAAATGGCAAGATCAGTGAGTTGGCGGACACACACACACACACACACACACACACATATATATATGTAAAGGTTTCCCTCACACATACAATGCTAGCCGTTTCTGGCTGTAGGGGACAGTGCTCATCTCCGTTACAAAGCTGAAGAGTCAGCGTTGTCTTAAGACGTCTCCGTGGTCATGTGGCCAACATAACTAAGCATCAAAGGTGCACAGAATGCTGTTACCTTCCCACCAAAGTGGTCCCTATTTTTCTACTTG